TCTGCCTTTGACCGACCTGTTCGTGCTGCTTTCGCGATTTGAGGGTGTTTTTCTCTCTCTTCCATCCTAGGGGATGGGCTACCTGCACGCCAAGGGGATCCTTCACAAGGACCTCAAGTCAAAAAACGTCTTCTACGACAATGGGAAGGTGGTGATCACGGACTTCGGCCTCTTCAGCATCTCGGGAGTTCTCCAAGCAGGCAGGTAGGAGATGGCGTGGTGGACATACCACCTTCCTCCCCATGTCCTAGAGCTCTCCTCTGAGCTGGGAACAAGGAAAGGGAGCTCAAAACCCTCCTCTGCAAGCGCTTTTCTGGCTCTGCAGCCTCAATAGACACGAGGACAGGGTGCCTTTGAGTGTCCTGGGGCTTTCCCCACCTCACCTCCCAGGATTTTGCTTTTGAGGAGGTTGCTCTGGGAAAAAGAACAAGGTTTGTAGGTCCTGCAGGAACCCCTTTGCCCCACAAGCAGTGGGCCCTCGAAAGGCAGCTCTGTGCTCAACACTAGCATTGGGTTTGTGGGGCGCTAACAACGCCAAGGTCGTGGGTTCGATTCCTGTTCGGTCCCCATGTGTTGCCTGATCTAGTCGAGAGGCGGCGTCCCTGGCAGCAGAGAGGCTGGATTAAATGATCTCTAAGGTCCCTTCCAGCCTAGGACATTCTATGAAAGCCCCAGCGGGATGGTGAGAGCAGGGCTGAGGTTCCTGCAATGAGTTGTGTCTTGGGCTCAGCGCTGGGCTGTGCAAGCAAACTGCTCGGCAACTTGGGTGCAACAGCTGTGGCTTCTTTTAGTTTGGTTTGGTTTTTAAACCCAACGTCGGGATGGCAAAGCTGCTTTGGATCAATAGGAAGGAGCATAATAGTGCGGCCAGCAGGTCCAGGGAAGGATTGTCCCCCTGTACTGGTCACTGGTGGGCTCGTACCTCAAATCCTGTGTTCAGTTTGGGCCCCTCTCTGCAAGAAAGACATCGAGGGGCTGCAGTGTGTCCAGAGAAGGGCAACAGGGCTAGTGAAGGATCTTGTTCTCCAGGAGTTGTTCAGCCTGGGGGAGACTCAGGAGAGAACTCATCACTCTCTGCAACCAGATGAAAGGAGGTGGGGTCAGTCTCTTCTCCGAAGTAATAAGTGATAGGATGAGGGAAAGTGGCCTCAAGTTCCTCCAGAGGAGGTTTAGATTGGATATTAGGAAAAATTTCTTCACCAAAAGTGTTGTCAAGCCCTGGCACAGGCTGCCCAGCCCTGGAGGGATTTAAAAGCCGTGGGACTGTGGTGCTCAGGGACGTGGGTTAGTGATGGACCTGGCAGTGCTGGGTTAACAGTTGGACTCGATGATCTTGAGGGTGTTTTCCAACCTGAATGGCGCAGCTCGGGTTTAGCTGTGCCATCTTGTCATTGTCCCCTGGCCGCTCCGGTGACCTTTTGGGTGCTGCAGACATCTGGCCATGGCGTCTGCGCTGAGCCAGGGCATGGAACGAGATCCAGAGAAAACAAGAGCCAACCTCGCAACATTTACAGCGATGTGACTTTTTTTTCTCTCTTTGGGTTTGGAATCAAGCCTGTTTGGTAAATGTTCCTTATTAAATATTGGTTGTTTAATTTTGGGTTTGGTTTTTTTTTTGTTATTTCCCAATGTTGTGGGAGGTTTTCCGGCTGTAGGAATGGCAAGGCCAATATCAGTCGCCGTGGAAAGGAAACAGAAGAGGGGAAAAAAACCCCAAAGTTTATATTTTGCTTTTTTGTTTGACTTTTCCTGGTGGGAGAGTGTTTTTTCACTCAACCCTTTGTGTTCAGAGCAGGGGGGGTACAAGCGTGGCGTTATCAACACAGGGCAGATTTCCTCCGGCTGCGTAGTACCTGCCGCGTCGGTCTCATCACACCACGTGACGGGGTTTGGCGCTGGCGAGGTCATCGTGGCCGGTCATCGCTTTACAGTGAAGATGCTCAGGGTATAAAGCACCTTGGGAACCAGTTATTTTTTTGCCTGGGTCAAAGGATTAGAGGAAAAAGGCAACAGGCAACTGTCTCCATCTCACGCCTCTCGCAGCAAGCCGGGCAGCCAGCCTTTCCGTTCCACTTCTGTAAATATCATCTGGTTTTAGCACAAACTTAGCCAAAAAGCTCAGGAAGACCAAGAAACCCAACAGTGCTCCTGCTCGCCCTGGAGAAGTGGGTTTTGGCTCTGGTTTAGCAGCTGGGCAAGGAGGTTTGGGGTGTTAGGTCCTGTCTGGGTGAGGTTGCAACTCTTTCCTGCAGTGGTCAAAGGATTTGGGTGAAAATGGACAATTTTTTTTCCACGGGCTTTTGCTGTGAAGGGCAGAAATTTTCTGGAAACATTGGGAAATAGGATATGCAATGGGGTGGCCATCTCTGTTCAAGATTGAGGTGCATGATCATCTCTGTTCAGGATTGAGGAGAGGAAGGATGGTCAGAAGTGTAAGGCTGGGCAGAAATGAGCAGTGTTTTGCTAGGAAAAATGGAGGAGATGGGGAAATTCCTGGCCTGAGGAGCTTTTGGTGTGGTTGCCCTGGACTGCTGGTGGTCTTCTGCTGGTGGAGAGCTGAGAGAAGGCTTTGGGAGTCTGTACGCGTTGGTCACCATGAATTTTGAAGCGGCTTTCAGTTCACGAAAGAGCCCGGCAAAAGGAGTTTGCAGCGTCTGGCTGTGCCCTGACATGCTTGCGCTGCTGCAAAACGAGCTGGCTGTCGCAAGTAAAATACCTTCCGCAGAGGCTTTGTAATCCTCTGTCTTATCCTGGTGAAATAGGATTTATTCCTCCTTTATTTAAACATTGTTGGGCTTGGTAGGGCTGCTCTTTAGTCAGGAGGAGCGCGAGGTGGGTCTTCAGAAGCTCAAAGAGCTCTTCTGCTCTTGCTTTTGCCTTGGGGCTGGCTTGTCCTTCGGCAGGTTTGGAAGACACTCAGCTGGTTGCGCTGCTTTCTGCTAGTGGGGGTGTCAGGTCTGAGGTCAGGCAAACTTTTGTCATGAAACCTCAAATTACTGTAATTGAACCAATTTGGGACTGCATTAAAGCTCAGCCCTCATTGCTGGAAGCCCGTAAACCTGTAGTTGCATTCTTGGACGTTCTCTGGTCTTCAGAACTGGGGATGATGCCAGGGAGGGGGAGGGTTTTGCATCCAGGAGGTGGTGTCCCATGGGACCTGGGCTCTGAGATTTTGTCCTCCAAGTTCAGGATAAGGAGAAACTCCTTGATGCAAGCCAGTGGGTTCTTCGTTCTCTAGCTCGATGTGCCATGGGATGGTTTTTGTTACCTCCTGCAAAACTGCTGTTGAATTTGGGCTTGGACACGTGATCAAACTGCTTTTACGTGTTACCACTACCACATCCTCAGCTGTTGGCCAAAGGAACCTAATGTATTTGTACTGAGCATGGGGACCTTGAGGAGGTAGAGGAAAAGGCGGCTGAGGTGATTATAACGAAGCCAGGCTGCTCACGTGGGCGGTGGGATGGGAAGCTTGAACACGAAGATGGGCTAGAGGGACATTTGGGAGCCAAATACCTGAAAACAATGATTCCCAGGCTGTTGTTATAGGGTAGGTTTGGTCAGAAGAGACCCTTAGAGGTCTCCAGTCCAACCTCCTGCTCGAACCACAGCTCAAGTGTCTGTGCTGGCGGGATTTACCCCAGGTAACACTTTGCTCCTCGCTTTTTAAAGGTGTTTTGGTGCAACGGTCACAGCAAGGGGCCCTGCAGACCCTGTATCCCCATCTTCAGCCCCACAGAGCCAAAGATGCCCCTCACCACCATCCTCTGCCCAAATCATGGCGTGTGTTAAGCTGCCGCGCTGGCGTTTCTCAGAGCAGGATTAAAACCCGGCTTTGCAAGGATGCCGTAGGGAAAACCAAGCTTAAATGCCCTGGGAAGAGGGTGGGAGGGCTAGGGGGGACTGCTCGGTGGTGATGTCCCCCCACGGCTTCGGCTCCGTGTTTCGGCAGGCGGGAGAACAAGCTGCGGATCCAGAATGGCTGGTTACCCCTGAGATCATCCGCCAGCTCTCGCCGGACACCGAGGAGGACAAGCTGCCCTTCTCCAAGCACTCGGATGTCTTTGCGCTGGGGTGAGTGGGCAGGCTGCAGAGAACTGGCGCAGTTGTGTCATGCGTCATCTGCTCTGAACAG